ATGACTATTGGCTTCTGGCTGGGATTGTCCTGTATCCTTTGATAGAGCGCAGAGAAAAAGTTCTCTCAACTAAGAGGGCAACTACAGAGAAGAAGAGTCCATACCGGGGAAGGGGGCTGTGACATACTGTGGGGAGATTGTGGGTAAAAGGAAAAGTGTTCACAGCCAAACCCATCCTTGTTAAATTCCTTGACGGTCCCCTTTCCTTCATTGGCAGCCATGGCTATGCACGGTGGCAGGACATCCAGAACGATGCTCAGTTTGCCATTATCAATGAGCCATTTAAGACTGAAGCCAATAAGGGGAATTTTCTGGAAATGAAAAATAAGTTCCTGGCCCGGAGGTTCAAGGTGGGGATAAGGGAAGAAAGGAATAGGTTGAAAGGGGGATTGGGTTAGTAATAGGACCAGATCTTCTGAAAACCTAGGAAAGGAAGGTTAACACCTTGAGGCCAAGACCAAAGTTAACCTTGTGTTGGTAACTGGCCTGGATCAGGGTTGATGCAGGGGTCAGTGTCAGTGTGGAGACGAGATAATGGGTGCTGTGGGCCTGCAGTGAGGACAGGGTGAGTCTCCAGTGCTGTGTCCTATCCCAGTGTTGCTCATCTGTGGCTGGCAAAGCCCTGCCTTCACCCCTACCCCATGCCCTCAGCTCCTGGAGCAGGCGCTGGTGATTGAGGAGCAGCTGCGGCGGGCGGCCTACCTGAACCTGTCACAGGAGCCGGCGCACCCCGCCATGGCCCTCCACGCCCGCTTCGCCGAGGCCGAGTGCCTGGCCGAGAGCCACCAGCACCTCTCCAAGGAGTCGCTGGCGGGGAACAAGCCGGCCAACGCTGTCCTGCACAAGGGTAAGGGCCGCGGTGGCCCCGCGCGGGGGAGGGCCCACAACGCTGCGTAAGTCTTCACCCCGCACCCCTTTAAATCTTCCCACCCCTTGCCCCCTTTACCCTCTGAACCACCCCCCTCTGACCTCTAACCCTACCTGACCCACCTGGCACCCTCTTGGTTTTTAGCTTCTATTACTTGTGCAAACCAATCCTTCTCCATGCCTGAGTGTGTTCATGTCACTGCCCAGCAGGGACCTCCCCAGATGCATGTCCCTCCACACAGTAGTGCTGCACACCTGCCATGGTGCTAATGTCACCCAGTTTGAGACCTTGGATTTTGTGTACACCATAAATTTCCTTAGCTTTGATCTCACAGGTCACATTCCCTCACATCACTCATTCCATGAGGCAGAAACTACTGCTCATCTGCCTCTCTGAGCCTGCCGTATGAAACGTCCCTTTGACCTTCAACCCTTTTCCCATACTCTTACCTTGATAACTACAGATTAAATCCCAAAGCCCTCTAACCATTAACTCTGTCTGGTGTAGTGACTGACTCCTGGCCCCTTTGATCCCTGTTCTAATTCCTTAAATCTGTAATGCTTACCCTTTAACCTCCTTCTTCCCTTATGTATTAAAACCTTGATTCCTTTAATCTTTGACACCACTGACCACTCCCATGCCTCCTGACTATTTCCTCCCCATCATCCCCAACCCCCAAACCTCCCTCTTCCAGTATGGGATGTTCTGACAACTCCCCACCCCCATGTCTTCCAATGTCCTCCCCTACCTCCCTTTTCTCCATCTTTTTTCTCTCCATCTGTCCTTTCTGGTGTTCTGGCCTCTCTTTTCCTGATACTTTTCTTTACCGAGTTGCTCTTTTTGTTTTAACTTTATGTCACTTTCTTCTGTTACTTGGACTCTGGTTCTTTGTCATCTTTATCATTCTCTTTCTGACTACATCTGTCCGTATGATTCCTTGTCACTTTTCCTGGCTCCATTTCTCTCTTTCCCTCTCTTGCCCTTCTTTCTCTGTGGCCTGGGCCCCAGTTCTGAACCAGCTGGAGGAGTTGCTGAGCGACATGAAGGCAGACGTGACCCGCCTGCCAGCCACGCTGTCCCGAATACCCCCCATCGCAGCCCGCCTTCAGATGTCCGAGCGCAGCATCCTCAGCCGGCTGGCCAGCAAGGGCACGGAGCCTCACCCCACACCGGTAACCCTCTTTCCCTCTAACTCATTTTCCCTGTTGGTGCTCCTCTTCACACACACACACACACACACACACACACACATACATATCAGAATCCTATACCGTATGGAAAAACTTGCTAGACCTCAGTCTTCACCCTTGAGTGAGTCTCCCTGCCTCTGTCACACCCTCAGTATCTCCAGAGTATGGCTCATATTCCCATACAGCTGCTTTTCTCAAAGACTATGGACTAACTAACCTCAGCTTGCTCTCTATTCCAGGCCTTTCCCCCGGGTCCCTACGCCACACCTCCGGGGTACGGGGCGGCCTTCAGCGCCACACCCGTAGGGGCCCTGGCCGCCGCAGGCGCCAATTACAGCCAGATGCCGGCAGGGTCCTTCATAACAGGTCAGCTGGTGGTTTCCTAATCCCTGCTTCTTTCATTCTTCCTTTGCCCAGCTTCATTCCTGCTTGGCTCCCTTGTCTTCCAGCCCGACTTCTTTCTTGGAAATATCCAGTGTTTTAGGGAATCAGGTTGTTCTGGGCTTTGTTCTACCCTCATTGTTAAAAACCTCACCCAGGATTTTAGTAGTTCTATTGGCCTTGCCTCTGGGTCACCTCAAGGGAAAGCAAAATCTTAAGAAGTATAGAATATTGTTCAGTCATGTGGCAAGGGGAAACTCACGGAGAGATGTTTGCCTCGGTATTTCTACCCTTATACCCATGAAAATCAGATGTGTCAGGAGGTGACCTGTAAGTGAGACTATGCCATTGTCAGCAAGTGATGTTTGGGAGTGCTTTGAGAATTGACCATTCCTTACTCCCTTCCTAAACAGCCGCCACCAACGGCCCTCCAGTGCTGGTGAAGAAGGAGAAGGAAATGGTGGGGGCACTGATGTCAGACGGGCTGGATCGGAAGGAGCCCCGAGCCGGGGAGGTGATCTGTATAGACGATTGACTGGATTCCAGGCGTGTCCTTCACCCAGGCCCCAATCCCGAGGCCGACCCCCTGCCCAGGCTCTGGGGCCTGCTGCCAACCTTCCACCTTCCCCACCTGTTGGGTCACCACTGGGCTAGGCGCCCCTCTGCCCCTCTATAATTCTTCAAGAGCCCCTTGTCTTTCTCCACCCCCACGCACTTTTCCCACCAAGCTTTGAAGACTGTGCTGGTGTGAAGAGGTCTGGATGGGAGATAGTTAGCAGGGTCTTCCAAATACCTTTATCCCCCACTGCCAAATATACACAGCTTCCCAGTAAACGGTTGTGGGGAGGAAAAAGGTGGACCCTCCCTAATCTCTTTGCCTGCAATATCAGCTCCACCTCCTGCAGAAGTGGGTACTAGCCATGCCTGGCCTTTAAGAACTTCCATGGGGAGGAGTTTCAAATGGAGGGGGGACTTGTAGAGAGGGATAAAAATGAGCCCTGGGAGGGAGAAAGGAACAGAAGGAGTGGCTGTACGTTAACCTTCCCATACTTCTCCCCAAATGGAGGGTGGAACAGCTACAAGGGAAGAAGTCAATTACTGTTCAGCCTCAGAATAAAGGCGACATTCACTCGCTCAGTTATTTCCTGTGTACCAGCATCTTGTGTGGGGAACTTTCCCCTCCTCCCTAGGCACCCCCAACAAAAAGTAATAGTTGGATGGTAAATCCCTCAAGCCAAAGAGGAGCTCTCCAACCTGTTCTAGGAAACCAGGTAACCTAGAAAAGGCAGGAGAAGTGGGCCAGACACAGGGGCAGCCCCTACTCTGGGGCTCTAGGCCGGATACAGACTAAATGTGAGCCATGCAGGCAGGGGCCTAGTCAAGGGACTCATAATTTGTGGGACCAGAACAACACAGTGGAGGCAGACTAGGGAGATGTGGGCATATCCCACTTCCCAGGAGGGGCCAGGGAGTGGCAGTTTGCATGGCGAACCTCCCACTTCCTTTTCACTGCCCCTTCACTTTCTTGCTTCCCTTTTCCCAGTCTCTTCATACCCACTCCTGGTCTGTCCCAATCCCCTCTTCTGTATCAGGTTTATTGGTTGTACATATAAATTATACTTTCCTTTCTGTGTGCTCTGTTATTTTTGGCTGGGGGAAATTGGGGTAGGGGCAAGGTATAAGAAAGATTTCTTTCTGCCATTTCATATTATCCATCTTTCACTTTAAAACATTTTCAATCTTGTGACTTTTTATTTTTAGCTCTTGGAGCATTCTGTAAAACTGGGGTCCTTTTTTCCACTCCAGCCATGTGATGAGTTTAGCGTAGAGATGGAGTATGTGCCCTTGTAGCCTCGCTGGGGTACAGAAGGGATGAAGGGCTTCTTGGACAGAAATACAGCAGGAGTACTTTACCTGGCAAGATTGAAAACTGCCTTCCTTTCCTTTTGATCATCCTTTCCACCTTCAAGTTGCTCAGTTCCCCTAAGAGTCAGTAGAGGTCGCTACACTCCACAGATTCAATCCCATTATGAAGCAGAGGAACACATTTTTTGGTCAGACATGTATAGTTTGCCGAAGATTTTAACTGCTAGACGTTTCTTGGCCTGTACTGTTGTTCACTAACAGACTCTCTCAAAGAATGAGTAATGTCACACGCTTAGTTCTTGAGCTTATATTAAAATATAGATAAATCCAACAAATATTTATTGAGTCCATACTACACATTAACACTGCTGTTGGGTCTGGAGATAGTTTTAAAACTCACAAGTCAGTCATTGCTGTAATAGAGTGGGGGACAATCACATAACATGAAATATCAGGAAGTAAAAGCAATAAAAATAAAATATATGTTACAGAGGATAGGGAAAGGGGCTCTCAAAAGGGAACAAATTGCGAAGAGTAGGAAAATAGCAAAATATGACTCTAAAATAGGTATTTATAGCCTATAATGGATATACTTATAATCTGTCATTCAAAAATAAACCTTGGAGGGCTAGGGATTTAGCTCAGTGGCACCACGCCTGCCTCACAAGTGTAAGGTTCTGAGTTCAATCCCCATACCAAAAAAAAAAAAAAAAGTTTTTAGTATATTTACAGAGTTGTGCAAACACCAAAAATAAACCTTGGAGACCCCTAACAAATTGAGGCCTACACTTAAAGTACTTCACATTTTTAACTCAGAAAAATGGAAGTTTTCTTCAACAGAATGTTACTCTGGAACTTTCAATAAGATAGTATAATGTATTGTTTTAAATATTATACCAACAGATGGTGATATAATAGAGTGTCTAGTTGCTTCTTAAACTTGTATGCAAATGAATTACTGGGACTGTTAAAGTACAGTCAAGTGTGGAGTGGGATCCTAAAATTCTGCACTTTCAACAAGCTCTCATTGACACCACTGATAGTTCTTGACTATGACTAAGCAACTGACAGCATACAACAGATGGTTGTATGACATTATATGACACAAGTTTAAAATTATAAACATTTTTTCCAATAGTGCCAGTGTCCTTGTGAAAAATAATACAGATAATATAAAAAATTTAAATTGCAATGCCCTCACCAAATGGCTCGCCTTCCATTCCTGATATTTAATTAAGTGCCTCACATAAATGCCCACTGGACCTTCTGATACCTGCCCTAGCAGGCTGAAGGGAGATTGGGAAATGAAGCAAGGCCTCTAATCATAACAGGGAGGCATCTCAGTAAATTTTGAAACACAAGTGGGAGTGGGGAGACAGGCATACCAGTGTCCTTACATGCTAGAGAAGTGAGGTTCTCACTTCTCACGTGACTTCCATCTTTTTTAAAAACTTCAAACCATTTACAATTGCTAAAATGTGATATGTTGCTCCCACATACCAAAGACTCCCGGGGCAGAAGCCAAGTTCCTCCCACAGTAATGTAGGCTTTGTTTACATCATCCCTGGGCTACTCCATCATGAAAACGTAACGCTGGCACCATCAGTATATGGGGGCGAATTCACCTAGGGCCCTCAGCTCAGCATCAACACCTGCCAGGGCGTTCCCTCTGGCCTTCGGCTCAACTCCCTCATCATACTCCAACCCCAGATAGGGGAGGGTGTAGTCTTGACATTTAGCCCCTACTGAAACGCGCCAGAGGCTGCAGCTCCCACCGTCCTTCTGCTATAACTTCCGTCTTCCTCAGTTACAGCGTGCACCGGGTCATGCGGGCAATATCCTTGATCTCTGGGCAGTACAGCACTGGGAGAAAGAAGAAAGGTTAACGGCAGCTGGATGATGTAACCTTCCCGCAGCGTTCCTCCTTAGGCACTCCCCGGCATCCTGCGGGGAACTGCCCCTCACCGTTGCTAGGCAGCGGACGCCGCCAGCGGCGAGCGGGCCTCAGGACCCGGTCCCA